ATAGCCATTATTTTGTAATATCTGTAAGTGGAATATAAACTATGAAAATACTGAATCACTATGCTATAAATCTGAAACTAATAAAACATTGTAAATGAGCTATATTTCAATTTTTTTAAAAATCATGTTGTTGAAAACTCTTGTCTAGGAATATATATACTAGCTTTACTTGTGAAATAGCTAAAAACTTGAAACAACCCAGTTTTTGTCAACAGGGAAATAAGCCCATTGTGTCATATCCACACAACAGAATCCTATTCAACAATAAAGGAACAAACAATACACACACCGAAGTGAATAATTCTTGAAATAATTACATTGAGTGAAAGAAGCCAGAAACCCCTCACCAAATATACATGTATATATATATTTGTTTGTATGTCTTCTATATTTTTGTCTAATTTCATTTTTATAAAATTTCAGAAAATACACATTAATCAATAATAACAGAAATCACATCAGTGGTTGCCTGGGACAAGTGGACAGAAGCAGAGGTGGGCAGCAGGAGGAATTACAAAGCAACAAAAGGGAACTTTTGGGGTGTGACAAGTACGTTCACTGTCTCGCCTGTGATGGACTCACAGCTGGCTATCTAAGTCAAAGCATGAGAAAACGCTCCCTTTAAACATGTGTAGTTATTTTATTTCGGTTACATATCAATACAAACATAAAATTAGGGCTAAAGAATTACCCCTCTTCGGAGGATAAACAAGATTAAAGGAAGATTTCACAATTCTGCGTTCTAATTCTAAATCTTAATTTTCTAACTAGTGAACTATGTCACTATACTCCCCCACGGTCATGGGGAGAAAAAACAATAATGAGTAGTTTTGGGCACCCTGTAAGCCACGAGTTCCTAGCAAATCACTCTTGAAAGGTAGAAACCTCAGCTCTGAAGTGAACACTTGCTTCTTACGGCCCTTTTCATTTATCACTGTCCACTCTCACCAGGCAGGGCAGGGGACTGGTATAGGATTATGTTGACGTCTACAAGTACTTTCTTCTCAAAACACATCCTTATGGTCCTGTGACTGGAACAAAAATGAAAAGGCAATTGCTGTGACATTTATTTTTCTCTCTCAGGGTATCCAGACAGTAAAACAGGTTCTGTCCATCTTAGAGATTGTCTAGACATACTTGTACTGCAGTTGACTCTAAAGGTTAAAAAAAAAATTAGAAGTTTTATGTTTGTCATTGTTTCTACTACTTCCAAGATTACAGTAAGTCAATCAGGCAGCTTGCAAGCTTATGAGATTTATTTAAGCAAGGAGTCCATGGCATTATCTGTCCTTTGAACCTCTAATGAGGAGATTTTAGTGGACAGGATCTAATTTATAACAAGGACCTACACCCTGGATAATGAAACATAGCCTATTAAGAACTTACATAAACAAGGGCTAGAATGCAATGTCAAAACAAATCATCTTGACATGTTTTAAAAATACAAGGGGCTTCTTCAAATATCATCAGGAATAAGTCATTTGGTGTTTCAGGTTCATACATCAATGCTGCTGCTGTCACTATGAAAAATTGGACTTTTTGTTTACTTAAAATTTGAAATGCCATGATTTGGTACTTGAAAAATGAGATGGGAGAAATGAATGTCCTCCTGTTTGTGAAAAATGGGGATTTTATTAGAGTAAAGTAGGGAGGAGGAGAGCACACTCATCTGTACTGGTAAAACGGTGTTTACCCGGGAAGAAATATAACAATGGGTAGGTCACTGGGGACGAGGTGGGGGCAGAAGCACTTCAGGAACTGATGACAACAGGAGCCAAGAATACAGCCTGAACCCAGAGCTGAACCACCTCTTGGTCCCTATACACACATAGCACACGAACGCATGGTAAAGTTAACACTCATATTTCATAGCAGCATGAGACTCCCCAGTTAGAATGCATCTGTTAATAATAAAAATTTCCCATCTGAAATGAGAGCATAATAGTTCTTGTTCATGCCTTAAATAGAAGATCACAGCAATAAATCAGCATTATGATTTTAGTAGGTAGTAACCCATGAAATAGAATATATTATCTCTGGCATTTAATTTGGTCAAAATTAAGTTAAAATATTCACCCAAAGGGACAGACTGATAAAGTAATAATTATAAGCATACAACTCTAAGAAGTTTTGTACTTTGTACATTCTGGAAATACCATTAAATTTAACATACACATTATCTTGATTGTCATAATTAGAAAATATTGAATTATTTTATTCAACTTCAGAAACCAAGAGTCTGTTTCAAATAAAATTTATCAAAATAAATTCTACACATTGTGTTTTACAACATGTTTTCATATATTCCCTCAGTGCATTTCATTAGTTATAGACATAAGAGAATATTCAGTAAACTTTTTAAAGCTAAACATCTACATTTATGGTTTTAGATGGGTCATTTTAATTTTTGATTTGTATGTCAATTCAATTAAATGATTCCCACTGTCCCACCATCTACTATACAAACACAGACAAAGACACACACATATTTACGCATGAGTATCAAAATTAACAAGACAATTCGCCTGATAAAAATGCATATGGATACAGCTAACATATACACGATTATACACTTATGAAATATATAGGTAAACAAATTTTAACACACCCATATTTTTATCTACACCCATATTTAATGCATTATATGGCAAAAGTAGTTTCTTAATAAGTATTCACTGATTCAATAGAATAAATTAGTAAAGAATGAATAAAATAATTGGGCACTATTAAAGATAATATTGGCAGAGAGTTTGATGGTCTCACCATTAAATTTTCTGTTAGATTTGTTCCAAGACATTTGATGTTTGTCAATACAATTTTAAGTGATATTGTCCTA